TCACGCTCTCTTCGTTGGCTATGATCTTGCGGGATATCTCGACGGATCTATTGTCATCCCACCACCCACAATCACGACTGATGGTGTTATATANACAGTGAAACAATCAACATAACTGAATCACAAACTATCGTCAATGTTAATATGACGAACATGACAAAGCTCTCCTCCACCAAAATCATCATGTGGAGCAGACAGGTTCACGCTCTCTTCGTTGGCTATGATCTTGCGGGATATCTCGACGGATCTATTGTCATCCCACCACCCACAATCACGACTGATGGTGTTATATAGTCTAATCCAGACTACGTGTTATGGAAAAGACAAGATAAGCTTATCTTCTCCGCTTTGTTGGGTGCTATTTCAACCTCGCTTCAGCCTATTCTCTCGACATCTCAGACTGCAGCAGAGATCCGGTGCTCACTTCAAGAAATTGAAGAACCAGTTGAAGTATTGGAAAAAGGATACAAAGACGATTGATGAGTACTTCCAGGGCTTAACAATGCGGTTTGACCAGATCGCTCTTCTTGGAAAACCATTGGATCACGAAGACCAGATTGAATATGTTCTTGAGGGACTCCCAGAGGACTACAAGGTGGTGGTAGACCAGATAGAAGGTAGTGACAGACCTCAGTTCTGACAGAAGTTCATGAACGTCTTCTTAATCATGAGGTCAAACTCCAGACTATTTCTGCTGTGTCTCCCACTCTTCCGATCTCCGCCAATGCTGTTACCTACAATGGTAATAATAACTCAAGTAAAAATCGCAATCAACCTCGACATGGAGGAGGCTCGAATAGATATGGTCAACACAACTCACAGATTTGGCAACAACAACAGAACTTCTCCCCGCACCCAGATCATCCTCAAACTCGTGGTTATCAAGGGCGTTGTCAGCTCTGTGGTCTCCATGGCCACAGTGCGCAGAGATGCTCACAACTCCAGACTCATGGCTCGTCTTATGGCTCCAACTACAACTGTTCTCTGTGGCAACCTTGTGCTAATCTTGCTGTGATGTCTCCTTACAGTCCAAACAATTGGATATTGGACAGTGGTGCCACTCACCATCTGACAACAGACCTCAACAACCTCTCGCTTCATCAGCCCATACAACGGTGGTGAAGAGGTTACTATCGCTGATGGCTCCGGACTTGCGATCTCGCACACTGGTTCTGCATTACTCCCTACTCCCTCATCTCCTTTACCTTTACGTAATGTTTTCTATGTCCCAAACCTGCAGAAAAACCTTGTCTCAGTTCATCGGTTATGTAACATTAACAAAGTTTCTGTGGAATTCTTTCCGACTCATTTTCAGGTGAAGGATCTCAGCATGAGGGCGCGGTTGCTGCAAGGCCAAACTAAGAACGAGCTCTATGAGTGGCCACTTCCATCCCTCCAAATCACATCTTGTACAGCCTCACCTACACCCAAAACGACCATTACATCGTGGCACTCGCGACTCGGACATCCGTCTTTATCTATTTTGAAATCAGTTGTTTCTCAGTTTTCATTACATGTTTTAGACTATGCAAAATCTTTTATCATGTTCTGATTGCCTTCTTAATAAGACACACAAATCCTTTTCACCTCGATTCATTCCCAAAAACCTCTCCAATACTTATACTCAGATGTCTGGACTTCTCCTCTTTTATCCTCTGATCAACACAAAGATTACATCATCTTTGTTGACCATTACACCCGCAATACTTGGTTCTATCCCCTAAAACAAAAATCCCAAGTCCTACAAACCTTCATAGCTTTCAAGTCCCTAGTTGAGAACCGTTTTCAGACTAAGATTATGACTCTTTACAGCAATAATGGTGGCGAGTTTGTTGGCCTACGTCTCTTCCTAGCAGCAAATGGGATCTCTCATCTTACATCTCCTCCACATACGCCAGAACACAATGGTATCTCTGAGCAAAAACATCGCCATATTGTGGAAACAGGGTTGACATTGATGAGTCAAGCTGCAGTACCAAAAAAATATTGGCCTTACGCGTCCACCACAGCGGTATATCTCATCAACAGGATACCAACTCCAGTTATCCAGAACCAATCTCCCTACGCAAAGATTTTTGGTGAACAACCAAATTATCTTAAGCTGCGTGTGTTTGGGTGCTGCTGCTATCCGTGGCTGCGACCTTACCAAGGCAAAACTTGATGACCGCTCTGCGAGTAGTGTGTTTCTTGGTTACACCCTTACTAGAGTGCATATCTTTGTATGGAATCTACAACTGGTCGCATCTTTACTTCACGCCATGTTCAGTTTGTTGAAGATGAGTTCCCCTTCCGCACCAACTTACCTCAATCACACTCTATCCTGAAACTCATCTTAGAAAAATTCTTCCCTTCCGAACCAACATACATACCTATACCCAAACCAGCACTCAATGGAGCTCGTTCTGACATGCCTCCAGGCTTATCTCCTCAGTCGGAGATGTTGCCGTCACCTTCTCCGTCGATCTCCTCTGCATCGCCGGACCAGGAGAGTTCGTCTATCCCGTCCCCATCTCAGGGTCGTGGAGACCAGATGAGATCAGAAAGAACTTCCCCAGGTATGTTACCAAATTCAGAAACAGAGACACAACCCGTAACCTCTCAGCCAACAGCAAACACAAACAAAAAAGCCAACCCAGAACCTCAAACACAAACGCAACATCCAAACCCAGTTCAACCTGAAACCACTCAAAATCTCATGCCTCCACCTGCAATTGAGAACCAACATCCCATGACTACCTGTTCTAAAAATAATATCCAAAAAACTAAGACAAAATTCTCTTTAACCATAAATACCCGGCCTCACATTCCCACAACTGCAAAACCAGGCCCTGTGAGATCGTAAATGGCGTAATGCCATGTCTTTGGAATTCAATGCGGTCAATGATAATCATACATTTTATCTTGTTCCTCCATATCCTAAACAGAATGTTATTGATACCAAGTGGATTTTTACTTTAAAGTACTTGCCTAACGGTCAAATTGACAGGTATAAAGTATGGCTGGTAGCTCGTGGTTTCAATCATCGTTATGGTCTGATTATGCCGAGACGTTCAGCCCTGTAATTAAATCGACAACGGTTCGTCTGGTTCTGCAACATGCTGTTACCAAGGACTGGGGAATCCGATAGTTAGATGTCAGTAATGCTTTCTTGCAAGGTACATTTTAAGATGAAGTATATGTGACTCAACCACCAGGCTTCGTTGACCAGGACCGTCCACATCATGCCTGTCGCCTGCGGAAAGCTCTCTATTGTCTCAAACAAGCTCCACGAATCTGGTATGAAGAGCTCAAGCGAACACGTGTTGCTGCAGGATTCCATAACTCCATTGCTGATACTTCTTTGTTCATTCATAATCAAGGCCGACATCAAGTCTTTGTTCTTGTCTACGTTGATGATATTGTGGTAATAGGACACTCAAAAGCATTGATTGATCGGATCATACACATACTAGCAACTCGCTTCAAGATCAAAGACCTTGGTAATGTCTCTTATTTCCTCGGCACTGAAGCAATCAGAACCTCTCAAGGACTTCACTTGATGCAGAACAAGTATATTCTTGATCTTCTTGCTAAAACGAAGATGAACGATGCAAAGCTGGTCACAACACCGATGGCAACGCATCCAAAACTCACGCTCAAATCTGGTAGCCCTTTGCAAAGTCCTACTGATCGTATGGTTGTTGGAAGCTTGCAGTACTTAGCTTTTACTCGCCCTGATATTGCGTATGCGGTGAATAAACTAAGTCAGTTTATGCATCGTCCTACTCAAGATTCATTGGCAAGCAACCAAATAGTTCACGTTACCTTGCTTGTACTGCGTCCAAAGGTTTATTTCTTCGCAGAGACTCACCACTATCTCTCCATGCGTACTCTGATGCAGATTGGGCTGGAGAAGCGGATGACTACGTCTCAACAAATGCTTATCTGATCTTCCTTGGCTCCACACCTATTTCAGGGTCTGCGAAGAAACAGTCTGGTGTAGCACGCTCCTCTGCGGAAGCTGGGTACAGAGCAGCCGCCAACACTGCCTCAGAGCTTTGATGGATCTGCTCCCTCCTCTCAGAACTTGGAATAGCAATCCCAGCAATTCCCGTCATCTACTTCGATAATGTGGGGGAAACATATCGTTGCGCGAATCCGGTGTTCCATTCACGGATGAAACACGTGGCTATTGAGTACCACTTCATACAAAATCATGTTCAAGCTGGTTTCCTTTGTGTCGCTCATGTCTCTACCAAAGATCAGCTTGCAGATGCCTTGACGAAACCTCTGCCACTATCGCGATTCCGTGAACTCTTCTCCAAGATTGGAGTCGCAAGACTACCTCTATCTTGCGGGGGCGTGTAGACTGTAAATATAGAAAGTACATTATGTCAAGATTCTCTTAGCCTAAAGCCCTATGGATCTTGTAATTTATAAACCTTTGTACATCAATTCTAATAGAATCATTCAGCTCATCATACAGAGAAGAGGTAGAGGTGGAAAGAGAGAGAATTTTCTTTGTTTCTAGTTGTTTCGTTTTGTGTGATTCTAGTTCAGATCCTTTTAAGAATAAAAATATATTATTCTTTTTTAAATATCTAATCTCTATTAAATTAGAATTCTATTTGAAAATTACCATGGCATGTTTTTCACCTATTAAACATGTTGTGACTTAGCAATTTTATAATCACGTGTAACTAATTTTCTTATATAACCCTTCCCAAGTCTCTATCAGTATAAATTATATCTAACTAATTAAACCCTTTAGTAGTTGATAAAAAAAATATAGGATCAAAGTCGATAAAAAAATTAGGGTTTTTTCTGAGAATAAGATGAGGGAAATAATAAGTATTCATATTGGTTGAGCTGTGGTTCAAGTCGGGAATTCTTTTTGGGAGCTATATGGCCTCAAATCCAGCATGATGGCATGATTCCCAAGTATAACGACCTAACATGGTTTGTCGAAGCTTTTTGAGGAACAAACATGGTTTGTCTTTTACTTCTCTCGTAGTGATACTATGTTTGGTGTCGCACATGATTGTTTCAACATTTTCTTCAGCGAGACTGGTGTAGGAAACATGTTCCTAGAGACGTCTCCATTGATCTCGAGCCCACTGTTTTGATAATATTCGTACAGGAACCTACCAGCAGCTTTTTCATCCCGAGCTGTTTATCTCTTGGATAGAAGATGTTGACAACTCACAAGAGGTGGTGAGAAAATATTTCCTGTTTTGTAGTACTTTCTTAACATTTTGCCATTAGTTCTCTAAATTTTATAATTGTAGTTGGAAAGAAGATTGTGGACCTTTACCTCGACCATGTGAGAAAACTTGCAGACAACTTTATTGGGAAACAAGGATTCTTGGTGTTCGATGATGTTGGTGGTGGAACTGGTTCTGGGTTTGGGGTCTATGTTGCTAAAACGTTTATGTGTGTTGATTATGTAAAAAAGTCTAAATTTGGATTCACCATATACCCTTCTCCTCAGTTATCTTTCGATAAAGAAACTCATTAGTAGTTACACTATACAGTTCTTTAGTTGGTCCAGTTTGAAGCCTCTCTCATATAGTCTAGATCTTGGTATTGATGCGTTGTCTTTTGATGTGATACCTTTCAAAATTAGAAGATTCATGTCGAAGTACACACTTGGAGACAATACATAGCTAATGGTGGAATCATTGGAGCTGATAGTTGCAGATGCAATTTATTAATTGTACATTGCTCAGAGCATTGTCTTTGATCCTGTGTCAAAGACCACTCTCAAATCACTAATATTTCCCACCACCCTATTGAGGATAATTTTAACCAATGACTGGACTTCAAAATGTTTGATTACGGCCATAGAAGTTGTTAGAGCATGATTAACGCTAAAGGGTCTTTATTTTTTTATTTTTTTTATTTTGTATGTTTGATTTAAAATAAAAATTAAAAATGAACCAATCGCGGACTCCCATGTGTCGGTGCGGCACGCGAACAGTACAAGTAGGGGTGGGCACGGATCCGATATCCGGGTTTTTTAAGGTATTTGTGATTTGCTTCGAATGTTACGGATATCTAATTTTGGGATTTGCTTTGCTTCGAAAAATACGGATATCCGGAAAAACGGATATCCGGAAAATAAATAGATATTTGCGGATATTTACGAATATTTACGGATATCTCATCTATTTTAATTAGTACAAATAATCTTAAGATTTTGATACAAATTTTCTTTGTAAAAATATTTTTTTGCATGATATATAAAATAAAACTTAAAAGAACTAGTGAATTTATAGATTTTGTAATTTTTTAAAGTTTAAGTTACAATTATAATAACACAAAATTTAAGAAAAAAATATAATTGTCAAAAATATTTTATCTCTTTTTATGTAATACTTTTATATAAGTAATAATTTGAATAGAATGGTTCAAAATCATGTGCTAAAATAATAATTATATAATTTTATACAATTAAAATTTTAAATATAATCAAAATATACATATATTTATATATTTATGGATCGGATCGGATCGGATATCCGCTTTCCAAAATTTTAATATTTGTGATTTGCTTCGATTTTAACGGATATTGAATTTTAGTATTTGCTTTGATTCGAAAGTTTACGGATATCCCGAATTTTCGGATCGAATCGAAATGAATAACGGATCGAATCAAATATAACGGATAAAATGCCCAGCCCTGAGTACAAGAACTCAAGAAAAGTCGCCTTTTACAGAAGAGGAGGAAAAGCTGGCTTTTATCAAAATTGTGGGACCCACCTCTTAAGAACCCACCTAAGAGGCAAGGTTAATGGTGCTCTTATGCAGCATAAACAATTGATGGTTTAAACTCATTTCCATCTCCGGACAAGTCTTCAGCAATGCCCATTTCAGTGGGATATATACATCTTGGGAAGTAGCTTTGAGAGATCTTTTACTTGGCTGTATACGTTAGCTCTTCCTCTATGCAAGTAGGAGAGTAGAGGGCAGTCGTGGAGCCGCTTTGTTCTAACCAAGGTCGCTATCAGTTGTGCTGACAAAGGGAAATATAACACTGTTGGACTCTCTTTGCAACCATATGATCAAATGGACCATGTCTATTACCAAATTTTGCAAGGAAAGGAAATAAACTTCGAGAATACATGCGGTTTCATGTAAGTTATCTTATGTTAAATTACATATTAATCAATTTATCAAAGTAAACAAATTATTTCACTATAAAAATATAAAATAATCACGCTTATCCTGATTCAAAGGTACGATATATATATACCTTGCATATATATATATATATATCATTTATTAAATATAGATCATTTCTTAAATATAGATAAGTTTATACAATATTGATGCTGACAAAAAAATTTTATACAATATTTAACAACAGACTTCAAACTACAATATTAAATTTTTTATCATATATACTTGATGGTAAAAATAACAGGTTTACAGATTTTTATGGCTGTACTTTTATCATNATATATATATATATATATCATTTATTAAATATAGATCATTTCTTAAATATAGATAAGTTTATACAATATTGATGCTGACAAAAAAATTTTATACAATATTTAACAACAGACTTCAAACTACAATATTAAATTTTTTATCATATATACTTGATGGTAAAAATAACAGGTTTACAGATTTTTATGGCTGTACTTTTATCATCTATACCTAATGATTGTTTACAGATTTTTGAATTAATTTTTGTCTTTGATTTTTTTTTAAACGATTTTTAGACAATCAATCGTTAAGAAAAATAGTTTCCCTATAGTTTAAGGAATTTATTTTTTTTCTTAAATTTTGCTACTTTTTAAAGAGAAACCAAAAACCACTTTTGTTAAGATTTTCAGCGCATCACGTTACTTTTTTCCGTTTTTTCTTTCAAAATATTTTTATTAGTTTTATACTCAGATTTTAGTAAAATATCATATTATATTAAATAAAAAAGTTTTATGTCTAGAAATTATACGCAATGTAGAAAAAAATATATTGTAAAATTTAATATTTCAATTAATTTTATCTAAATTATTTATACATAAATAACCATAGAAATATATGTGCACATTGTTAGGAAACAAATAAAAAAAATTTGGATCTTACTTTATTTTATTTATAATAGAAAGTAATTATATCTAACTAATTAAACCCTTGAGTAGCTGATAAACAAAATATAGGATCAAAGTCAATAAAAAAATTAGGGTTTTTTCTGAGAATAAGATGAGGGAAATAATAAGTATTCATATTGGTTGAGCTGGGATTCAAGTCGGGAATTCTTTCTGGGAGCTATATGGCCTCAAATCCAGCATGATGGCATGATGCCCAAGTATAACAACCTAACATGGTTTGTCGAAGCTTTTTGAGGAGCAAACATGGCTTGTCTTTTGCTTCTCTCGTAGGATACTATGTTTGGTGTCGAACATGATTCTTTCAGCATTTTCTTCAGCGAGACTGGTGTAGGAAACATGTTCCTAGAGACGTCTCCATTGATCTCGAGCCCACTGTTTTGATAATATTCGTACAGGAACCTACCAGCAGCTTTTTCATCCCGAGCTGTTTATCTCTTGGATAGAAGATGTTGACAACTCACAAGAGGTGGTGAGAAAGGCATTTCCTGTTTTGTAGTACTTTCTTAACATTTTGCCATTAGTTCTCTAAATTTTATAATTGCAGTTGGAAAGAAGATTGTGGACCTTTACCTCGACCATGTGAGAAAACTTGCAGACAACTTTATTGGGAAACAAGGATTCTTGGTGTTCGATGATGTTGGTGGTGGAACAGGTTCTGGGTTTGGGGTCTATGTTGCTAAAACATTTATGTGTGTTGATTATGTAAAAAAGTCTAAATTTGGATTCACCATATACCCTTCTCCTCAGTTATCTTTCGATACAGAAACTCATTAGTAGTACAGTTCTTTAGTTGGTCCTGTTTGAAGCCTCTCTCATACAATCTAGATCTTGGTTTTGATGCATTGTCTTTTGATGTGATACCTTTCAAAATTAGCAGATTCATGTCGAAGTACACTCTTGGAGACAATACATAGCTAATGGTGGAATCATTGGAGCTGATAGTTGCAGATGAAATTTTATTAATTGTACATTGCTTAGAGCATTGTCTTTGATCCTGTTTCAAAGACCACTCTCAAGTCACTAATAATTTCCACCACCCTATTGAGGATAATTTTAACCAATGACTGGACTTCAACATGTTTGATTACGGCCATATAAGTTGTTAGAACATGATTAACGCTAAAGGGTTTTTATTTTTTTATTTCTTTTATTTTGTATGTTTGACTTAAAAGAAAAATTAAAAATGAACCAATCGCGAACTACCATGTGTCGGTGCGGCGCACGAACAGTACAAAAACTCAATCAAAGTCGCCTCTTGTAGAAGAGGAGGAAAAGATGGCTTTTATCAAAATTGTGGGACCCACCTCTTAAGAACCCACCTAAGAGGCAAGGTTAATGGTGCTCTTATGCAGCATAAACAATTGATTGTTTAATCTCATTTCCATCTCCGGACAAGTCTTCAGCAATGCCCATTTCAGTGGGATATATAAATCTTGGGAAGTAGCTTTGAGAGATATTTTACTTGGCTGTATACGCTAGCTCGTCCTCTATGCAAGTAGGAGAGTAGAGGGCAGTCGTGGAGCCGCTTTGTTCTAACCAAGGTCGTTTTCAGTTGTGCTGACAAAGGGAAATATAACACTGTTGGACTCTCTTTGCAACCATATGATCGAATGGACCATGTCTATTACCAAATTTTTCAAGGAAAGGAAATCAACTTTGAGAATACATGCGGTTTCCTGCAAGTAAACAAACTATTTCACTATAAAAATATAAAATAATCACGCTTATCCTGATTCAAAGGTACGATATATATACCTTGCACATATATATATATATATCATTTATTAAATATAGATCATTTATTAAATATAGATCATTTATTAAATATAGATAAGTTTATACAATATTGATGCTACAAAATTTTTTATACAATATTTAACAACAGACTTCAAACTTCGAGAATACATGCGGTTTCATGTAAGTTATCTTATGTTAAATTACATATTAATCAATTTATCAAAGTAAACAAATTATTTCACTATAAAAATATAAAATAATCACGCTTATCCTGATTCAAAGGTACGATATATATATACCTTGCATATATATATATATATATATCATTTATTAAATATAGATCATTTCTTAAATATAGATAAGTTTATACAATATTGATGCTGACAAAAAAATTTTATACAATATTTAACAACAGACTTCAAACTACAATATTAAATTTTTTATCATATATACTTGATGGTAAAAATAACAGGTTTACAGATTTTTATGGCTGTACTTTTATCAT